ACTCACCACCCAAAGCAAAGAAAGTCAAGGAAAAGATAAACACCTGGGATTACATCAAACTGAAAAGCTTCTGTAGAGCAAAAGAGACAATAACCAAAACAGAGAGACACCCCACTGATTGGGAAAAAATCTTTGCACTCCATTCAACTGATAAGGGACTGATCACAAAGAAATAGAAAGAACTCACATGACTCAACAAAAACAAAATAAACAATCCAGTCAAGCAATGGGCAGAAGAACTTAAAAGACATTTCTCCAAAGAGGAAATGCAAATGGCCAACAGGCATATGAAAAAATGTTCAACATCCCTTATAATCAGGGAAATGCAAATCAAAACCACATTGAGATACCACCTCACACCAGTAAGAATGGTACATATCAAAAAAGCCAGCAACAACAAATGTTGGTGAGGATGCGATGAAAAAGGAACTCTCCTACATTGCTGGTGGGAGTGCGAACTGGTCCAACCACTATGGAAAGCTGTCTGGAGGTTCCTCAGTCTACTAAAAAAGGAGCTACCATATGACCTGGCAATTCCACTCCTAGGGATTTACCCAACGGACACAAAAACATTGATTCAAAAGAACACCTGTACCCCTATGTTTATTGCAGCACTGTTTACAATAGGTAAAACCTGGAAACAACCCAAATGCCCAAAAATAGTTGACTGGATCAAGAAGATGTGGTATATATACACAATGGAATATTATTCAGCAATCAAAAAAGATAAACTCATGCCATTTGCAGCAACGTGGATGGAGCCGGAAGGAATTATGCTCAGTGAAATAAGCCAGAAGGAAAAAGAAAAATATCGGATGGTTTCACTTATAGCAGGAACATAGGGAAACCAAATAAGACACCAGTGTGAAAAAATAACAACAGTACAAAACACAACAAAGCAGAAACAGACAATTATAAATCAGAGACATACTGCAGGGGAGGAGGAGGGAGAGGGATCAGAGGGAGGGAGGGAGGAGGAGCACAGGGGACTACACATTGGTGAAGAAAACTCTATGGGGGGCCTCCCCTGGTGGCGCAGAGGTTGAGTGCTGGGCTGTGAAGCTGCCTGCAGCCTCTGCAGCACCCGTTTGATCCCTGACCACCAGGGAGGGTCCCACATGGCACGCAGACCTCTCCTGTCGTGCCCGCTGCTCCCCTCAGCAGTGTATTTGGGTCTTCTGCCTGTTCTACTCCCTGCTCTGTCTCTGGGTGAATTTTCTCACCCTCCGTGCCTCTGGCCTGTACCCCAGCTCTTGTATAAAAATAAAAAAAAAATCTTAAAAAAAAGGCAAAATTCAGCAAATAATAATGCAGGACTCATAATTAAATTAGAATTCAGATAAACAAAAAATAAATTGAAAAAAAAAGAAAAAGAAAACTCTATGGGGACTACACCTGAGGGGGTGGGAGGAAGCAAATAATGTTTAAAAAAATAAAAAACAATTAATTAAAAAAAAGAAATTGTTTTGTTGAGAAAGATATCTTAACATGTAGTATGCCAGTAAAAGTTGAGACCCTGGGGAAATAGATTTGAAGGATATAATGAAACAGACATAGACAAACCATTCTGCTTAGGAAATAAAAATAATTTGTATGAAAAAACGGTGAAGAGAAGAGACACCATGTTGTTTTGGAGTGAGATGGGTTAATGAGAAATTCTAGGCTGTAAGTTGGTTGGCTGAAGGGCTTTTGAAAGCAGGAAGTTTCTAAAGATAAATTTAAAATTGTTTGTATTGCTGACTGCAAATTCCTTTTGTCTCCACCTAGCTGTTACCAAAAATGTTGCCTTAAAGAGCATTTACCAATTAGGTTTTCTTTTTTGAGTAGGTGGGCTATTGATAAGGAATCCAAGAAAAAGAGGCTTGAGGTTCATGTCTATGTACAGGAGAGAGAAGAGACCACCTATGTGGGGGGATTTTAATGTGAAAGCAAAAGTTATTTGGAAGCTGATTCACACAGCTGGAAGAGATCATTTTCTTGGGTATTAAGAGAAGTTGTAGGAGGAATGGAAATTGGATTTACCATTGGATATTGAATAAGGGGTTGGAGTCATTTTTATTTAAATATCAAAAAGCCAGCCTCAGCTGACAGCTAGTTTAACCAGTACACATAGTAGTTCACCAAGACACCATTTGTCCATAAGAAAATATACCATGATGATTTTGGACAGTGAAGAACAACAATCATAAACTCTCATATAGTGAGTGCTATGGGAAAACCTATAATGACAATTATTTCTTGATTATGTGTTACATAGCTTTAGATATTTTATTTGTAGCAACTCATTTATTTTTATTGCAACAACACACCTCCTTTCCAGTCTTTCTATTCTTCTCCTCCATCAGCATTATACATCATTTCTAGTTGAATCATGGTCAGATTAAGAAATTGGGCTCAACCTTCAAGCTCATAATGGGGCAGCAGGCACAGTGCCTCAGGTTCAACATACTTTTAGGTCTCATAACATGCTTTAATTTCTTTTAAAATCAGACAAAATAAAAGCTTAGGTCAAAGAAAATGCCTTAATGTATAACCTCAATAAATTTGTGTTTATATCAATGCTTTATAACTTTAAATATTATTTTTTGGAGGAAAAACCAGAACTGTAAAAAGCATCCAGGACCTATGAAAGTCTGATTGTGACCTTGGGTGGCTGAATTGCATTTAACCCCAGGCAATGTGACAACTAAACCTATGTTCTTTCTGGAAGGCAATTTGCCAATATGTTTCAAAAGGCCTAAAACTGTTCGGGACGTTTGCTTATTTTTTAAGGATCTAAAGTAATACAATAAGAACAGCACCAGCAATGATTTATGATAATGTATTTATTTATAGTAGCCTTTGAAACTAAAGAAATATTCAATATGAAAGTCTGGTCTAATATTGGCAATAAGCGTGAAGGTTTAGGTGAGTACCAGGGGCCTTTGAATGGAGCTGAACTGACGAGTAAACAGAGAGCTTAGGGTGACTGAAAGTGAGACACAGCAGAGACAGAAGCAGCAGGGCTATATACATTCTGGAGACCAAGTGTGGACCTCTGCTAGATTTATGTATGTAATATATTTGATTGAGCATGTTCTTGATTTCATTTTCAAAGCTACCAGACAAACAAAAAGGTAAGGAAAATGTTAGAGGAACAATACTTGTTGGAGCAGAAAAGAATGAGCAAAATCAGGAAACTAAAGAATTGGTTGTAATGTAAGCAGGAAAGAAGCCTTCAGTATCATGTTAACTTTTGTTTTGAAAGCTCTAAAGTGCCAATGAAAGTTTTAAGCAATGGAGTGAAGTGCATAGATGTATATTTTAGAATAATTACGGTGAAATATTTATGAATTCAGGGGGTAGGAACAGTTGCAATGGAGAGGAAGAGAATATGCATTCATTCTGTTACTAGATATTTACTGAATCTTACAAATATTCATGGAGCATCAATGTTGTTCTTGGTATACAATTCTCTCCAAAGCTTAGTTATAACAAAGAGAGAACTTAGGGGCCTCCTTGGTAGTTCAGGGGTTAAAGTCTCAGCGCTATCAAGCTGTCATCAGCCACAGTAACATGGGCTCTACCCCGGTCAGGAAGCTAACCCACATGGCAGAGCAGGCCTCTCCTGTTGGCCTGCTGCTCTCCTCTGCAGTGTATTTCAGTAGATATGCCTCTCCTGCTCCCCACTCCCTAGTGAATCCTCTCATCTACCCTCCCTGGGGTCTACACTCCGGTTCTTGTGTGCATAAATAAAAATAATTTTTTTTTAAAAAAAGAGAACTTAGAAATGTTCTATAGTCAATTGTAAATTTACGTTGGAAAAGTTTTAAATGATGAGGAGTTGTAGCCAATAGAAAGGGTGAAGTTAAATATGTACCAAGAAGGTGGTCACAGGAGGGAGCAGACATTGGAGAAGTTTGCTTTGGAGAGGATCAGGGATACCTAATCTTTGAGATGGAAGGAAAATTAGTAACTTTGGGTGTAGATGTAGGTTATCAGTGGGGGTTGGGTAAGGTAAGTAGGCAAAAATGGTAAAAGATCTGTAGAAGGCCAGGCCATCTGGTGGGTCATGTGGTGCCATTTCTTCTAAAAGCAACATATAAAACTAACAGGTCTACTCCAGGCCAGCTGAGTCTGTTGTTTGAATGGGGATAACAGACTCGACCAAGGGACTGCTGTGTGTATTAACTGCACCTGTCTGTACCTGCTCAGTAAGTATCCACCTTATAAGTGTGCTCATGTGGAGGCAGGGGGAAGTCAACTATTCGATTACAAATAAAAATGAACTGGAAGTTCGGTATGATAATCTGTTAAATGCAATTATTTATTCTTGCCCTGGGTTCTAAGTCAAACATTCAGCTAGGTCAAGGAGTATTTGTTAATCGCTTACTTTGCTGTAGAGTGCTGGAAAAAAGAACTTCGAGTGCAAGACCTTACTTGAGGTCATGCACCGGTTCGCCCGCGAACCGGAAAGTCAAGTCAGCAGCACCCACTGCCTGCTTGAGAAGCCTCTTTCCAAATCTCAGCGGAGACCCCGCCCCTTCCACAGGTTAAAACCCCGCCCCCCTCTCCCATTGGCCAGCTCTCCACCTCCCCTCGACCGCTCCAAAGACCCGGAGGAGCGGAGTTTTCCAAAGGCGGCATCGGGGCGCCCTCGCTGCGCATGCTCGCGGGGAGCCGGATTCTGGGTCCGGAGTTGGAGACTTTGGGCGGCCGCAGCGTCGCGCGCGGGGCCGGGGCTGGCGGGGAGGTGCGCGCTCGGGGCGCGGCGCCGGTGACGCGAGTACGCGGCGCGCTCCCGAGGAGGGAGGTGTTGGGCCGGGTGGGGGTGGCGCGTGGCCGGGGTGGGGGTGGGGGTGGGCCGGGTGTCGGCGAGCTCGGCGTGCAGGTTCCGAGTGGCTGCGGGCGGCCTGGGCTGCCGGGGCCGACGCCTGGGTGGCTCCCGCCGCCGCGCCTGCTGCGAGATGGCGATCTTGCGCGCGGAAGGGTGAGGGCTCCCGCCGCTGAGGAGGCGCCGCAGCCGTGGCCGCCCGGCCGCCGGGAGCCGACGGCTTCGCGCCGGGTAAGGAAGCCGCGGTGCAGCGCTGGGGGCGCGGGCGGGCGGGCGGGGCGGGGGCCCTGAGCCTTAGCAGTGGTGCCGGGAGTCCGGCGCGGTCTGCACTGGGGCGGGACCCTCCGAGGGGCAGTCGGGGGACGGTTCGCGGAGCTCGGGCTGCCTGCTCCAGCCCGCGGGCTGGGAGTTTTCTGGGGTGGGGTCACGGGTCTTGCCCCGAGTTGGCCCTGGCACAGGCCTGAGTAATGATACTGGAGCGGAGCGAAGTGTTTCCGTGACTCTGCAGCCGCAGTTACCCAAGCTTCCTAGCCTTCTCTATGCCTTCTGTCTTCCTCCTCTTCTTTGCTAACACCTCTCCCAAACCCCACCAATGTATAGACTTCCTGCCGGTGCCCTGACTTGCACTGCGTTTCCACCGACCCAAACCAGGGACTTCCAGCCTTGGAACGTCTTTTTTTGACATAATTTTTATCACTCCCAGTTCTTCATTGACTCCGCAGCTCCCCGCAACACAGCCCGCACCTCCACCTTTGTGACCTGGTAGGTCCCAGTGACCTTGCAGTTTTTAGTAGTCCTTTCTCATCCGTGATTTGGTTAGCTTTAAAAAATCTTTTTATAAAAATGTTACACTTTGTCCAATTGTTTTACAGCCTTTTAATTCTCAGTCTTGTGCACGATCCTTTCTTTTCTTCATCGATTTGGAGTTGAGCGTCCTTTGCTCCCATGATTACATGAAATCTTCATTATCAAAGGACTGTTTGACATTTTTTTAAATCTTTCAGGCTAAAATACTTTCCAGGGGCTTGATACGGTGTTCTTTTTATGTTTGATAAGTTTTTGTAATTTTGTGTAGGTTAATGTGCAAACAAAAAAAATGAGGTTCTACTTTAAAATTTTTTTGGTAGTAATAGTGGAGAAGGATAATATACAAAGTTACCTTCTCCCATCCCCATTGGTGAAATACGTGGTGTACTGTGTTAATAAGTATCTGTGTTCATTATACAAGCAAAAATGCACCTTTAAAAAAAAGACATTGGTATGAGTTGTTTTTATCCACAAAGTAGTAAATATAACTGGAAATTACCACTTTTAATAGTTAATATTCTTTTTTTAAGTTGAAAACTTAGTGGCCAAATGTTGGGAGCTACTCAAATTGAGAAGTGTAAAGTATATGAAGGAGTCTTCAGGACATATCCTATTACATTTTCAAATAATCTTTTTCAAAAATGCAAAATTGATTGTAAGACCTACACCACCTGCCTTCAAGCACTTAGTAATCTTTGCTCTATACCCCAGGAAGACTAAAATTTCTCTTTACCTCTACAGCATGACTGTGAGAGGCATTTTGGGGACTATAAAGATGATGATTACAGTTTGTGCCTTCAAATATGAATTAGGCGGGTAGAACTATACACAAATATCTCATTTGTCTTTTAATATATAGTTAAGTTTATCGTAGATTTCAAATTCTGAGGGGGTAGAGTTTATCTCATTAGGAAGGGTAGGGGTTAGGAAGATTAGTTCACAGAGCTTCTAGCTTCTGAAACCTTTGTTTTCAAAGATGGCTATGACTTGATAGCTTGGGAAAGACAATGCAAACAGAGAAATGAGACTTAAAGAGCACAGAGATTATACATTTGTTTTTGTACAGAACAGAAAGTATTTGTATCAGTATAAATGGTGATAAAGCTTGAAGTAAAAATTTTTACCAGTTTATTATTGCTTTTAATGCCAGGCTAATGACCTTGGATATAGTAGGTGGTAGGGGTTTTCCAGATGTTTGAAATATGAAATGATTAGAGCTTTATTTTCAGAGGATTCATCTGGCATCAGCACATATTGTGAATTGAAGTAGAGAGAAAGAACCGGAAGATAGAAAGATCTTGTTATTGTTGTGGTTATAGGTAGTGAGGGTCTGAACTGTGGTGGTGGTAACAGAAATGTAAAGGAAGTGGAATAGACAGAATATGATCATGGAAGATAAAGTGAAAAAGTAAACATAATTAAGATTCTAAACCAGGTCTGAAAATTAGTGGTCCATTTTGGGCAACATCTATGGGTTTTATAGTCAGCATCTGTGTGTCACTTTACAGCAGTAGTTCTCAACTTTGGGCATGACTAACCCTTGACGAAACTAAAGACATCTGCTGACCTGGCAAAAATTCTTCTCTGCACCTGTGCTTTGTGGCTGTAGATTTAAGAGAGTCCATGGACCACCTGAAGTTCATCTGGGGAGCCCATAGCTGGTATATTGGGCTGGGGGCCATTCTTAGAATTTCTGGGGACTTTTTGAAAAAATAGACCCTTCAAATTCTTCCAGTTAGAGCCATGCCTAGAGATTATCTCTTTACACTTGTGTTATGATTTATAATATACAGAGAATTTACTAACTTGTGTCATTTGCTGTAATGTTACAGAACAAACTAGCCTAAGGTAAATGACTTGCCTTGAGTATTTCAGCTAGCAAGTGGGTAAAGCGGAATCAGGAGTTGATGACAATGATCATTTTCTTTCTTGCATAGAAGGTGTATGCCACTGATTTACCATCAGTTGAATATAGTTACTGCCTTTTAAGTGTTTTCATCAAAACGAATAGATGTTCCATTTCTTAAATTCTTGTAATTCTTGGGGTTTAGATTTTCTTTGGACTGATTGTACCCTTCTTGTTTTCCATGTGTAGGAAAGCTTGTGAGGTGAAGAGATGAATTGGGTGTGTGAAAAGCAGATAATGTCAGATCAGTTATTCACTTGTTTCCTTTGTATCTCAATTTGGGGGATGGGGTGAAGTAAGTGAAATAAGAAACTTCAAGAACTTTTATTTTCTCTTTTCTATTTTATGTATTCTGGTATGTCTTACTTTATAATACACCTTTCCTTGAAAACCTTTATCAAATACAAATCGAAATTACAAAATAAATAAAGTGCAGGGTCCTGATCAATGAATTTTTTAATTGGATTACATAACTAATTCTCTATAGTTTATGGTTAAAGTATAATTTGATTAGCAAGCAGTTGACTTTTCTGCACCTATAAGATAATCTTCCCGGTAGGAAAACAGAACAAGTTTATTACTTGGTATCTTTTACAGCTCTAGAAACTTTGATTCAATAATTAGGAGGAGGACTGGGGTCTTTTTTAATACTTCTATAAAAATGTGATGTAATTATAACAGGCAGTGGAAAAACCAATAAATTGGCTTTTATAGTAGTGTTGAAGGAACTAGTTACTAATACTTAGTGGAGAAAGATGTGTAACAAAAGCACATACATAGATGACGTTTTAACTTTCACTGACTTTAAAAAGATTATCTTGTTTTAGTATAGCATTTAACATTTTTTCATAATGATTATATGTACTTTATCACTTAACTTGCATGAAGTTAAGGCAACTTGTATGGCTAGTAAGTGGCTAAAATTGGAACTAGAGCTAAAACCCATCATTTTGTAATGATCTTCATCGACACTAGAAATTTAACTTAGCTTTACATGAGGAGTTTGAATTTCCTGTTTGGAATATGTGTTTTGTACTGTGTAGTTATAAACTTGTCAATTTCCTCCTTTGTGTTAAGATGGTAATCTCATTGCAGTGCTGTGGAGAGATAATTTTGAAGTTTATAAGTTTTATAATACCACAAAAGTTATTCTATGAAGGAAAAGCAACAGTCGATTTCTTGTCTGAAAAATATATTGGCGAAATACATGTATTAATTTCATTTTGAAAATTTGTTGATTTTCCAGATGAGTTTTGTCCTCTTTTTATAAAAGTCCAGTCTGAAAATTTGTGTTTTTGGAGCAGATAAAGCAGGATCTGACTTCTAAAACTATATTATGATATGTTATGATTTTTGTCATTACATAAAAAGCTTTATTTAAAAAGAAAGATTGGGCCTCTGTGGTGGCGCAGGCAGTTGAGCCCAGCGCTGTGAAGCTGTCTGCAGCCTCTGCAGTGCCGGTTCCATCCCCGCCGGCCTTGGAGCAACCCACGTGGCGCTGCAGACCTCTCCTGCCTTGCCGGCTGCTCCCCTCAGCAGTGTATTTCAGTCAGTCTGCCTGTTCTGCTCCCCACTCTGTGTCTGGTGAATCCTCTCACCCTCGGCACATCTGGCCTATACCCCAGTTCTTGTATAAATAAATAAATCTTTTTTAAAAAATAGAAAGATTTACAATTAAAAAACGCTTAGTATATACACTTTAAATATATTAGGCACCTGTTTTGAGGCTATGTTATGAAAATTATGTGAGCTAATTCCTAAGTTATAAGGAAGATGTAGGGTAAGTAAAAAGTATCAGGCTTTTCCACCTCCTGCCATTAGATTAAATGCATGCCTGAAGGCGGGCACCTGGAGTAGGGTGTGGGCCTGCATAGGTGGGTACACCTATGAACTCATTTGAGCAGTTCTGCTGGGTTTGCTGGTGGCCACTCCAGTAGGTGCATTCAGCTTAGACTGAGCTTATAAGGACGGAGGTACTGGGATGGCAGCAGAGTGAAGGAGAGACCGGAAAGAAAACAAGTGAGAGAGCAGAACCAGCAGAGAAACAGAGACCACGAGGGAACTCCGGAGAGCCCAGAGAGTGAAGATCCGCCAGGGGCTACAAGGCCTGCCAGCTTCTCGGGCCCCCCCACCCCGTACCCTTGCCTGCCCTGCACCTTGTAAACCCAATAAAAACCTGAAAAAGCCACCGAGGGCTCCAGGACTCTCCTTTACCTGTCTGCTCAGAGCATAGTGAACCAGCTCTGTGCCTTCCTGGCACTACAGAAGACTAGCATTTGTCTTGACATTCCTTAAAGGCTTATTATTTGTTCACGACACAAATTGGCACACCTACGTGTCAGCATTGTGCTGGGTGCTGGAGATACAGTGTGTGTTGTTTACTAAAGCCACTGACATCAAGAAGAGTACAGATTTTATTACTAAGGTTGTATGGATGATTGTGGGATGATTGTGGTTATAATTAATTACACCCTTCCTTTTCTCTGGGTTTTGAACAAATTATGCAGAAACTCAAGGA